AATTAATACTTAATTGAGAACATATGGGGCTAAGTATACAAATTTCTTCCCAGACTGCATGGTGGGATTTATATACGATTTTCTGTCCTCCATATTATTCATTTGTGGTTGAATCCAATATGGATCTAGGAAGCCATACGTGTCTTTTGATGCCAACTCAAAACTAATGTAAATACCCCTATTCACAAACACAACCAATTATATGTAGATTACCAATTATATAAATATAAAACTATTATGAATAAATAATACTAAAGAACTTATTACCTCATAAAGAACTGAACTAGAGAAACATCGATGATCTCCATTTTTAAGAAACGCATTATCTCATCACTTGCAAGGTACAAGGCATAGTCAATGTCTCCCATATATAATACCACGAGTCACACGGACCACAAGATGGTGTTCAAAACGGGTGAGCTATTGAAAATGCCTTTTTGCATCCATCAGTCAAAGAATCTGGATAAGCTATAGTGAATTCTTGATGTACGGATTGCACACCCGATTGAAAAGTCAATTTGGTCTTTTCTTTTGACTGTGAATTATAATACAAGTAAGAATTATTATTTTAAAAATTAAATTACTTACTATTTTAAAATAGAAATATTTTCAGTGTACATACCGCATCAGCTTCAGTACATAACTCTACCAGCTTCTTTGGCCAAGCAATAAAGTGTTGAATTGCATCACCTACAAGCTGAACCTCACTGGTGGGGATTGGTACATGTGCACTTGGATCACTAACTTCATTTACGCTCACCTTCACATGATTTATATCCAGTACAACCCCATGAACATGTCCACCACTGTAAGCTATCCCATATGCCACTGGCCGTCTAATTGGATCTTCTAAGAACAATTGACATCGTGCCCCTAACTGCATTAATTTTTAATTAAGATTCATATAAAATTTTATTGACAAATAATAATAAGATTAACTATAAATGAATACTTACAGCCGGTAAATTACTAAAAGAGTCCGGGAAACTAGCTTTGTCACTTCGAGATGGTAGCTCAGCATCTACACATACGTCATTCCCCTACTTTGATTGTACAGATTGGTGAATAGGAGTCTACAGAGAACTAAATTGTAGCATCATCTGAGCCATGCGTGCCTCAAATTGATCAGTTAATCGTTGACTCAATTCCTCCTGCTGAGTAATATTTTTCTGATTTTGTTTTTCTAGCGCTAGTGCAACAGTACCATCAAGATGTGCATCAACAACAGCATCAAGACGTGCATCAACAGCAGCATCAACCAATCGTTGAACATTTTCAGGAGTCTTTTGGCGACGTTTTGCATGACCAAATACACTTTTGATGCCATGTCCTCTTCCCTGGCTCTAACACGTCCAGAATGCTCATCAGTACCCAATGCAACAGTCAATGAATCTTGTCTTCCATCCTCAACAAATTCTCCTTGAGAAATTTGCAACTCAAGAGCATCCTAACATATATAAAAATTATTCAATAATAATTACTATTACTGTAGCAAATGACAACATATTTACTTACAATTTTTTCCGCCACCAATCTAGTTGATTCAGTGCGATAATTTCCTGACTTGTCAATTCTTGTTTTCTTCCACTTTTCGGCTCTACATGGAGGACTCATTGTATACGACGGATCTGCATCTGCACATTCTTGTTTTTCTTTCAACTTCTCATCCATCATAATCTTTTCCAACCTTTTATAACCTCTTCGAGCTAAAAGATGTGGATGAATATTCTTAGCTTGTATGTCTTGATATTTTTTTCTTTTTGCCTATATATATACACAATATTAATCAAACTCATTGATTGATGGAAAGTCATTGATTGTGCAAAAAAACATTGCATGCAACTTAAAAGTCTCCTTTCGGTATGCGTCAAACACTAACACACCTTCATCCCATAATTGCTTCAAGTCATCAATCAAAGGCGCCAAAAAAACATCTATATTATTACCTGGTTGTTTTGGCCCAGAAATCATCAAGCACAATAATATGTATTTGCGTTTCATACACAACCAAGGGGTAGATTATAAATTATCAACATAACTGGCCACGAGCTATGCTTGCTACTTAGGTTCCCGTGGGGGTTAATACCACCAGTACAAAGTTCAAGTCTAAGATTTCTCGACTCGAGGCCAAATTTAAGAAATGCATTATCAAATGTTATCCATTGAGAAGAATCAGCCGGGTGTCGAAGCTTGCCATCAGAAATTCTTTCATCTGCATGCCATGTTAAGTTCTTCGCATCGCTTGGATTTGCAAACATGCGCTTAAATCTTGGAAGAATTGGGAGATACCACAAAACTTTAGCTAGTGGACTTTTCAAACGTACTTTACCATTCTATCTTGTTTTATAACGAGATGCCCCGCATATTGGACATGCATGCAAGTCTTTGTAATCATTCCTAAACAATATGCAATCGTTAGGGCAAGCATGTATCTTTTTGTATCACATACCCATGGGACACAATATCTTTTTGGCATCATAGTACTCTTGGGAAGTTCATTACCATCTGGAAGCATATCATTTACAATTTTAAGTAACGCAGTAAAGCTCTTGTCGATCCACCCATTCCCAGCTTTCAAGTTGAATAATTTTAATACATCAGATAATCGGGTATATTTACTACACCCTGGCCATAAAGGTTGTTTTGAATCATTCAATAATTCATCCAACTCATTTGACCGATTGGTAAACTCTTCTACAACATCGCGAAACATTTCATCCAACCGATCTTTAGACTCATCATCTTCATTGTCAACATACATGTTAGATGTTATAGCCACATCGCTTTCACCGTGCCAAATCCATTGTGTATAATATGGATTAATCTCATTAATGATTAGATCATCATATATGTCCTCTTCACCTAATCTTTTCTGATTACAACATTTCTTACAAGGACACAAGAACCTCTTATTACTATTCGGAAGGTTATTCTTTGCAAAGTGTAAAAAATTTCTAACTCCATTTTTGTATTCCTGACTAAGTCGATTAGCTTTCATCCAACTTTTATCCATCACAAGCCAACCCAAAATAATAATAACATTTGTTAACATTATTTTAACAAATTTCTATAATAATAACTACTTCAACAACTAAAATTTCACAAAGGGGCCTTATCTTTTCCATTTTATTTAGTAATTGGGTTTCTAATGTTTAAAATGGCATGCCCTTTTCTATTGGTTTAAGTGTACCGATCATTATCTAAACAAATAGGTGTTAGATGTGCCTAATATAGATAGCAAACTAAACTCATTTATCTATTAACCCTACTTAAACATTTGTTAACACTTTTTAAAGAAATTTCTAAAAATAACAACTACTACAACAACTACAATAATTCTTAAAATTCAACATCTATATAAAAAAAAAATCCTAAATTTTCAAATATCCACACAATAATTTATACAATTCAAAATATCAAAATAGATACACAATTATTCATAAAATACAATAGTTCATAACATTTATAAATACCAATTGCTAAAAATTGAAAATATATAAACAATATTTCTAAAAATTACAAATGTACACACAACAATACATAATTTACCGAATAACTCATAAAATTAAAAATATATACACAGCTATATTCTTAAAATTTCAAAATATACTAAATAATAATTTATAAAATTCAAAAATATATATAAAAAACAATTTTTTTAAAAAAAAAGACGTACCTGACGGACGAGCAGCGGACGGCGAGCTCCGACGTCCAGCGAGCAGCAGTGGCGAGCCGTTGACGTGCGGCAGGCTGTGGCGGCGAGGTGACGTCCGGCGATGCTTGGCGTGCTGCGGCGTTCGATGGCAGAGACATCGGCGGCCTGTGGAACGTCGGCGAGCTGTGGATGGCGGCGAGCTGTGGATGCCGGAGGTGGCGGAGGTGGCGGTGTTGGGTAGGAGGAAGTCAGGTGTTGGCTCTGATCTATTAATCTGGACGATATGATGGTCTTCGATCGTGCCCTAAGTTAATTTGAACACTATACGACGTCGGCTATACACTTAGCCGACGTCGTGTATATATATATATATATATATATATATATATATATATATATATATATATATATATATATATATTTTATTTATTTATTTATTTATTTATTTACGTTACGACGTCGTAACTTAAGTAAATAAATAAAAAAAATTTAAAAAGGGGATACGACGTATCTTAATTAAATAAAAATAAATAAATTAAAAACGGGATACGACATCGACTTTTTTGTTAGCAAACGTCGTATCCTATTTGAATTTCTTCTTTTTTTTTAAAAAAAATTTAATTCATTTACGATGTCGGCTGAATCAATCAGCCGACGTCGTATATATTTTATATTTTATAAAATAAAATTGTCAAAAATATTTAACGTAAGTTTTTATAAAAAAACCGGCGTTAAACGACTATAGACGTTGTAATGAATTTTTGTAGTAGTGCGTATTGGGGTCTGCGATTTTTATTTTCACGGGAAGTGAGATTTTTCCTAACATGTGCAACATAAAAGTAGGAAAGTGTGGGATAATGGCCACCTAATAAAATAAATATTTATAACAATTTACAGTTTTTAATACATATGAGCGTTATTCAAATTTTCAAAACACATAACACGTACGCCTTCATTCCAGACGCGTTTCCTTGTTTCATCTCCACCTCTGAACGTTCCCCTCTTAATTATAAATGTTTCGAAAGAAAATTATAAAGGATAAGAATTAAAATCATTGAAGGTTTGTAAGGATGTATTCAATTTAGAATTTTAATGATTTTTGTAGACTTTTTAAAATAAAAAGTTGATAAAAGTCTATGAATGTTTTTTATATAGACTTTTATAGAGTCTTATAAACTTTTAAAAAGTTCTGAACAACTCTATGAAAGTCAATCAAAGTTTATTAAAATCTATTACAAAAGTCATGATTGAATACACCCCTCTTTAGTATCCAATTTGAAAAAGGTTCGCCTTCGTGGTTATGTTTCTAAGTAGAACATATTGTATCATCTAATTTAACAAGCACTCAGCTCATCCCGACATCGCCACCGCTGCCACCACCGTCACCGCCGTCACCGCCACCGCCGCCGTCACCTCCACTGCCGCCGCCTCCCCAACTGCCACCGCCGCCGTCGCCGCCTCCCCAACCATCGCCATAAAAACCTCCAGAATTGTCACCATCGTTACCGCCACCATCACCATCACCATCTTCTCCTCCTCCTCCTAATTCTCTTCCACCGCCACGTTCACCGCCTTCTCCAGCAGAGCAGCCCCCATTTTTAGAGTTACAGCAAGCAATGATGACTATAAAAATCATCATTACACCAATACCCAATATAATAAAGAAAATGGTGTCCATATCTAATAGACGTTGTAGGCTCTCGATCTGTGTATATTTATCATTATCCTATCCAGTATATTTATATAGCATCTCGATCTGTGTCATAGACTTGACTTGGTCGTAGCTAGGTTGATTATGCATGAATCATTATGCTATCCATCCAGTCAATATATATATATCTACTATACTAATAAGAGCCCAAGAAAGTTAGACCTATAATGGGTAGAAAAAATGGCAGTCACAGATTTTAATCAAATGAATCTACTATACTAATAAGAGCCCAAGAGAGTTAGGTCTATAATGGGTAGAAAAAATGGCGGTCACAGATTTTAATCAAATGAATGACTCAGATTGATTAAAAGATTGATCAGATTTAAATTTTACACTAAAATTTCCTAAAATACCCACACAGCGTTACTAATTCCGTTAAAATTTTAAGAATTGCCGTTAGTTCACCGTTAACTTACTCATTGATTTCAATAAAAAAAAAAAAGATTTTAGGTTCGAACCTCATCCCAATCAAAGTTGGCATAATTAGTACTCTATTTTACTCTTATTAAATTATATAAATAATAATTTAGTAGTTACAACAAAAAATAATACATATGCATTTCTTTAATTTAGAATTATGTGTCCACAATGCCTTTATTCAAAAAAAAAATTATTCATTATCAATAAATTAAATAAGAGAAATAATTTTATTAGTTATATTGTCTTTATTTTTCTTCAATATAAAAATTTTTTATATTCAAATTTATTGATTGATTATATTCGCTACATTATCTTTACAATGTCTTTATTCAGTGAAAAAAAATTATTAATTATCAATAAATTAATTAAAAGAAATATTTTCATTAGTTATATTGTCTTTATTTTTCTCAAATGTAAAAATTTTTACATTCAAATTCATCAATTGATTATATTCACTACATTATCTATTATCTTTTTGTGCACTATTTTTCTAATTAAATATCAAAGTTATAATACAAAATAATGCTATATATTTATTTACCAAGTATTTTATTAATACCATAAAAAAATTTAAAAAATATAATTAATAAAGCCAACCATATTAACTACTTGAGAGATTTTGCGGCAAAGAGAGTATTCGAATCACACAACAAATTGAAGTGAGAACTACCCCGCAATGTCCTTGTTTGATAATCAGCAGTTAGCGGTTAGCGTTAGCGGATTTGACCAGCGAATTTATTTAATTATTAACATTGGGTAGAAAAATGAGAGCCCAAGAGAGTTAGGCCTATAATGGGTAGAAAAAATGGCGGTCACAGATTTTAATCAAATGAATGGCTCAGATTGATTAAAAGATTGATCAGATTTAAATTTTACACTAAAATTTCCTAAAATACGAACACACCATTACTAATTCCGTTAAAATTTTAAGAATTGCCGTTAGTTCACCGTTAGCTTACTCATTGATTTTAATAAAAAAAAAAAGATCTTAGGTTCGAACCTCATCCCAATCAAAGTTGGCATAATTAGTACTCTATTTTACTCTTATTAAATTATATAAATAATAATTTAGTAGTTACAACAAAAAATAATACATATGCATTTCTTTAATTTAGAATTATATGTCCACAATGCCTTTATTCAAAAAAAAAATTATTCATTATCAATAAATTAAATAAGAGAAATAATTTTATTAGTTATATTGTCTTTATTTTTCTTCAATATAAAAATTTTTTATATTCAAATTTATTGATTGATTATATTCGCTACATTATCTTTACAATGTCTTTATTCAGTGAAAAAAAATTATTAATTATCAATAAATTAATTAAAAGAAATATTTTCATTAGTTATATTGTCTTTATTTTGCTCAAATGTAAAAATTTTTACATTCAAATTCATCAATTGATTATATTCACTACATTATCTATTATCTTTTTTTGTGCACTATTTTTCTAATTAAATATCAAAGTTATAATACAAAATAATGCTATATATTTATTTACCAAGTATTTTATTAATACCATGAAAAAATTTAAAAAATATAATTAATAAAGCCAACCATATTAACTACTTGAGAGATTTTGCGGCAAAGAGAGTATTCAAATCACACAACAAATTGAAGTGAGAACTACCTCGCAATGTCCTTGTTTGACAATCAGCAGTTAGCGGTTAGCGTTAGCGGATTTGACCAGCGAATTTATTTAATTATTAACATTGGGTAGAAAAATGACCGCCAAATTATTAAATCAAATGAATGGTTCATATTGTTCAGGTTTTAATTTTTTTCTTTTAAGATTTTCTAATTTATCCATAATTATATGATTATCCATTTAACTTTTCTGTTAATTCACCGTTAGTCTAATTATAATATTAAAGTCTAATATAGAATTATAACTACACCATTAATCTAATTCTAATATTAAAGTCTTAATAGAACTTAACCACAAATCCTAATGTCGGAATCTCCTCAAACAATATTAGTATATATTTAATATTTTATGCCCTAATTTTTATTTGTTCTCCCTTATGTCCCGTATTTGGTTTCAACCATACCTATACAATTATTTTATTGACAATTATAATCAATCTTGACTATATTATCTTGCATTTGTAAACTTAGTGGGTAGTATTTGTGAGAAGGGACCAAGGTTTGAACCTCGGCGGCGACAGTGCGGGAATTATGTCCAAAGTGGGCAGATTCCTTGTGCGTATCAGCATTTGGCCCTGTCTGCTGAACCATTGAGTCACCGTGATTTACAACTTCCCACAATGCTCTGTCGGGTCGGAGTGTGGGGGGCCCTTGGGGTTGGGGACTCAACCTTTGGGCTTTGGGAGAAGAATTACCTATTTAAATATGCAAATTCAACCTTCAATTATCTATGCATGAACAATTTCAATATAATCCTGCCTTAATATACTTTAAAGTACTTATTTAAACAAAAAGCATTGGGCATTATCCCAATCGCGCAATGCGCGTAAAAAACTAGTATATATATATAGCGTCTCTGTGTCGACATAGACTTGATTTGGTCGGAGGCTCAGAGCTAGGTTGATTAGTACGAGTGGGCCAGTGGGGCACGAGTAATTCAGTTGGATTTTGTAGGGGTAAATTATATCGTGGTTCACAATACACTGTGAACATTGGTTTAACATTCAAAATTTGACTACACATACACATAAACACAATATATTGAATATAAATTCTGTGTATTATGTTAAGTATTTATGTGTCATCAGTTATATAATACACAAAATTCATATTTGTAATACACAGAATTCATGTTCATAATGCACAGAATTTATGTTCATTATATCATGTGTATGTGTATTATGAACATGAATTCTATGTATAAAACACGATATTGTTAGTATAAGTTTGTATTTAATATTTATTATGTGGCTTAGAATTGTTGTACTATTCTATAGCCTATAGTTTAGGGATCTATTCTTATTGTATCTCTGTAACGAGTTCGAGTTTCAGTTTCAATTGAATCATTCTTTCCAACTCATCTGGTATCAGTTTAGCCAGGACCATCCTCTCTCTCCTCTCACCCAAAATGTCTAGCAATTCGTCGGAGCGTACACCAACAGCCACCACCGTGTCCTCCCCGAATACCACTCCCAACACCCTGAACTCTGCCCACCACTTTGTTTCCCTAAAATTAACCAATCGTAATTACCTTTTTTGGCGTACCCAGATTATCCCCTTTTTACGTGGACAAGGCCTATTAGGATTTGTGGATGGCTCAAATCCGTGCCCGTCTCCCACACTGGAGACTCCGCCTAGCGATGCATTGAGCGATGGTATCACCGTCTCTGTTAAGACAAACCCGGCGCATGGTGTGTGGATGCAACAAGATGCGTCGATACTCTCCTTGATTATCTCCTCATTATCTGAGGAGGTTATGCACCTAGCAGTCGGAAGATCAACGGCTCGCGAGGTGTGGACGGCGATCGAAACTGCCCTCGGATCTTCTACGCGTGTGCGGTGTCTCAATCTCTTAGGCCAATTTCAGGCGCTAAGACAAGGCGATAGTACCCCATCGGAGTACCTCGGGAGAGCCCAGCTGCTGGTCGAAGAGTTGGCTCTGGCCGGCCGTCCCATGTCATTGGAAGAACAGAACTTGTATGTCTTCCGAGGACTGAGGCCGGAATTCCGTGCTATCGCTGCCACTCTCGCCATCTCCGGTAAACCAGTGTCGATCCCCTTACTGTCCGACTACCTGCAAGCCCAGCAATTTATCCAGTCCGATGACTTCCCGGATGGTGCTGTGGCTCCGCCTAGTGGATTTCCAGCGGCGATGTACGCCGGTCGTGGCCGGCAGCAGTCCGGTGGTGGTGGTGGACGCCATCATCGTGGCGGACAGGGGCGCAACAACAATAACAGAGGGCGTGGCGGACAAGGCCGGGGACGAGGTGGTGCGCCGCGCTGCCAAATATGCCGCGCTCAGGGCCACACAGCTGCGTACTGCCACCGCCGGTACTCAGAACCGCCTCTCGTCGCCGCCCATGCCAATGTCGCTGTTGCCGGAGACGGACGCCAGCCGACAGACGTGACTGCCTGGTTCCCTGACACAGGCGCGTCGGCGCACGCCACGCCGGACTCTGGGGCGATGGCTCAGATTGATGAATAAGACGGCAATGACGTTCTTCGAGTGGGTAACGGCGCAAGTTTGGGAATTTCTGGTATTGGTCATGCATTAATTCCGTCGGTCTCTAAAACGTTACGTCTGTTTAATATATTACATGTTCCCCAGTTGTCTGTTTCGTTATTATCAGTTAACCGTTTTGCTAATGATAATAACTGTTATTTCGAGTTTCACCCGTCATTCTTTGTTGTGAAGGATTGCAAAACTCGGGTGGTACTCCTTAAAGGATCTAGCTCGGGGGGGGGGGGGGGGGGGGGGGGGGGGGGGGGGGGGGGGGGGGGGGCTGTACACTCTGTATGTTCCGAGGTCGTATTCCGCATTTTTCACGTCCCGTGCGTCGTCTACAATTTGGCATCAACGGTTGGGTCACCCACATGGTCAGGCTCAGCAACGTGT